CACATAAAAACTGATGATGGTGGAAAAATACACCGAAACGTATTTTGATTGATAAATAGAGACAATAAATGACTGAAACCCAGGAGTGAATTTGATTGGTTATAAACGGTATCACAACAGCGTGTACAGAATTATTTTTAAACCCCTTGCTATTAAAAGCGGAATATTAAATTGGTGCAGGTACATAATTAATGATTGGAAAACTCACTTGAAACTTTGGCTCCTCGCCTAAAACTTTCATACAGAGTCGTCGCATCTGGATGTAAATAGCTAACGAACTTCCCCTGCTTCGCATCTTTGTAGAATCGTGACACTCTTATCACGTCTGGGCCCTGCAAAGTAACGAAACAAATCGAATTGAGAAACAAGCTGCTACTTCAAAATGAGTTAGTTCAACATGAAGGCGTTTTGTGGCTTAAACAAATCATTTGCTGCTGGTTTTTGGGCCAATCTGACTGTGTACTAATCTATAAAACTGGCTGCGTCTTTCCATTTAAATGAGGTATTAATTTCCTTCACTTTGGAAAATTGGCTGTTTTACGAGTAGATGTATTTTTCAAGCTGCGCTCGTTTTTCCTCTGCCCTGTTCTAATTGGTCCAAACTCGTGACTCAAAAGCTCTCGGACAGGTCCTGGCAACCAACCAGGTTCTCGAAACAGTTACTTAACTGAATATTTCGATTCGACTTACGAAATATTGACAAATTGTCGGTCGGGCCGTGCCAAAGTTCGTCGACTCACCACCAACTCCATACGGCAGCTGTCCGTCCAGCGAAAACAGATAAATCGCAAAAATGGACGATTTCAGTCCAGCTTTGTGGAGTTTATGTGCAAGTGCTGTCATTGGAACCGGACAAATCATGACATTCCCATTTGTCACGTTGTGGTGGCCGCCGGATAGAGCAGATTTATCATTGAAAATCCTGGATTTATTTAGTGGGATTGGGAGTTCTGGTTTTGCAACATGTTTTCGTTGATTAACATTTATTATTTTACATAACATTTTGGGTAAGGTTCTACTGGACAGTTCCATTTGCTTACGTCTCGATTTTTGGTCCTTAAACTTAAAAATCCCTGAATATCGTTTATTTCGTTAGGTTTCGACGAGACAGCAGCGCCATCATCAGATTTAAAATTTACACAAACTCATGATTGGTAAAAATCAACGTTCTTTTAGGTCTTTGCCTTCTTGAAACCTTCAATTTGTCTGTCGAGAGACAAATTGAAGGTTTCAAGAAGGCAAAGACCTAAAAGAACGTTGATTTTTACCAATCATGAGTTTGTGTAAATTTTAAATCTGATGAT